GTCTGAAATCTCCACGAGTGACTAGTATTAGGTTCCACCACAAGAGGAAACCTTTTGTATAGCGAGGTAAACAGTTTGGAGTTTGTATGGCACTACATCAAATCATTTTCTGAATTTTCTTTGTAGGCATATCAAAATGGGGGTGATAGGAATAACACTACTGTCACATTGGTTTGAGCCTGCTTCAGATGCAAAGGAAGATATAGATGCTGCAAATCGAGCTATGGATTTTATGTTTGGATGGCAAGTGTATTATTAATTTATAAATCAAGTGGGTTATGTTTCTTTTTTATGACTTATAAAGTTGATTATTGCAATTTTCACATCTTTGTAGGTTTATGGATCCAATTACAAGAGGTGACTACCCGTACACCATGCAATACCTTGTTAGAGAACGATTGCCAAAATTCACGGAAGAAGAATCCAAGATGTTAACTGGGTCCTTTGATTTTGTTGGATTGAACTATTATACTGCTCTATATGCAACTGATGTACCTAAGAATTATTCTAAACCTGCAAGTTACTTATACGATCCACATGTTATCACAATGAGTGAGTACAAATGAAAACCTTTTATCGACTAATTATTTAATATCTTAGAATTATTACATTCTAATATTGATCGCATTCATTTATGTTATGGCAGCTGAACGTGATGGCATTCCTATTGGTCCTCAGGTACACATCAAATTTCAGGTTAAGTTATTTGTATTTGGAGGATTAATTTTATACAATTCCTAACCATCTCAAATATCTTCAAATGGTATTACAGGCTGCTTCAGACTGGTTATATGTTTATCCAAAAGGAATTCACGATTTTGTACTCTACACGAAGAATAAGTATGGTGATCCAATCATTTACATTACTGAGAATGGTAATTGACGCTTTTAAGCCTCACTTAATTTCACTTTTTAATTTTTGACATATATGTATATATTGATGTAAAATACAGATGAGTAATTCCAAATCTAAATTTAAAACCAACTACATCTCTCTTTTTGAGAGAAAGTACTAAATACATATGTAATGAATTATATTGCAGGCGTTGATGAGTTCAATGATTCCACCTTATCACTAGAGGAAGCCCTCCATGATCCCAATAGGACTGACTACTACAATCGCCACCTCTGTTACCTTCAAGCAGCAATCAAGTAAGTGCTTGTTGAAATACTAATTAGGACTATATTGCATTTTACAGTGATATCAAGTCATTATTTATTTATTTTGTGGTGCAGGAAGGGTAGTAATGTGAAAGGATACTTTGCATGGGCAATTTTAGACAACTTTCAATGGAGTGAAGGCTACACAGTTCGATTTGGTATTAACTATGTGGATTTTGACGGGCTCCAAAGGTACCCAAAACTTTCGACCCATTGGTTCAAAAATTTCCTCAAGAAGCGCAAAGGAAGTTCAAATATTTTGGCCAATAATGTTGGAGACACAGATTTTCTTTATCAAGTGTAACTTCAAATGATGAATGTTGTGGGGCTTGTTTTTAGTTTTTTCAGCTTCACTCCTTCTGATTTGGAATAAGCTGCAACAACTCGTTATGAGTTTGTTGTATATGTTATTAGTGTGTGTCTCTCTATATTTGTGTTGCCATTATGGCTAGTGCCTCTTCCGCAGTTGAATTCCATATGAATGTAATGTACTATTTATGAAAATAAATGTTTTTGAATGTTGAGTGTTCAATTAAACTGTACACTTACCCTTAGTGGGCTTTGACCAAAAAGTTGGCATAGATAATCAATGGCCTTAGGCCACATTATACTAGCTAGTGATTCCTTAACCAAAATATACTAAGGGTTTATTTTGAACTGTTTAAAATGGCTGAAAGCGTTTCTAGTGAAAATGTTTTTGGAATCAATTTTTAGTAAAAATGCAAGTGAGTCATCGAAAAACATTTGAAATGTGGGGGACCATAATTTTCTGAAACCGTGACACATGGCACCTGGGTAGCAAAAATGATCAAAATGCTCATAGCCCATGAAGCATAGTCCTACATTCTTAGTCCGACATACTAGGCTTAAGCCCACTGAAGATATTACTTGCCAACCAAGTTTGATAACCCTAATTCAAGTCAAATTAGGATATATTAGGAAATAGGCAACATCATCCTAGGAAGATTGGATATCTTATAGTAGATTTCCTCATAGATAGTCTCCCAATTTAATTATGATTACTTTCCCTACAAGAGCTCTCAAGACATCTATAAATACTCTAACCAATGACAACTAAAGATAATGCTCTGCCACACGCATATTCTGTCATATTCGCTGAGCTCTGCGTGTAGATACTTCCATGGAGAACTTATCTCCTTAATACCCCACCATAGCCTATTCATCAAGAATGGTTCACGATATAACACACATCACACCATTCTTTCTTGGATGATTTTTAATAGATAATCGACTTTGCATACGAATTTGGACACAAGTCTAGTTGGACATGAAAGCTAAGATACTGAAAATTATAATGTCAAACTTTCATAATTTTCTACACGATCAATCCTTCCAATTTTTCAATTAAAAACAAGCAAAACTGCATTTTTGTCAGAACTGCATATCTAGGAAAAACGAAAATTTCAAAGGCTTCTCTTAGTGTGTATTTTCATTTGCATAATGTTGAGGGCAAAACTCCATTCATGTAGGCGATTGTTAATATTTTCATATTAAATTTTATTTAGTTGGATGGAATTTAATTAAGATGGTCCAATTCTTTAAAATGTATTAACTTCCCAATTCTTGCACGTATTAACTTTCAAAGTTATCTCTGGTTAGAAACGACATCAAAGATGAAAATGCAAAATGGTGGTTTGAACAGTTAAGCGCTTATTAGTAGAAATGCTTTCTAGAGAAGGAATCACAAGGCTAATGGTAAAAAACATATTTGACATCAGTACTATTCTTACTCTGATTCTAGAAAACTTTTAGTATACAATGGGAATCTGAATTCTACCATTCTCATAATTTAGACACAATTTTTTTACCATGAAATTAGCCCTTATCAATGGTCAAGTTTGAGTCATAAAGCTAATTAATTATGGCTAATTCGTTAATTTACTTTTATCTGAAAACTATTGTTACATAAAAATAGTAATTAAATTCACCTTAACCAATTTAGGGGGGGTGTACTCAATTTAGGATTTAGGATGATTTAAAAAAAAAAAAAAAAAAAAAAAAAAACTTTAAAGTAATAGATTTATTACTACGATATAGTGGTATCCTCATCACTTAGAAGTGACAGTTCGTAGGTTCGTTTCTCGCCAAAGGCGAATTTGAATCATATTGTGGTTAGCACATTGTGAGAATTTGCTCCCCTCCCCCTATAAATAATATCATTTGCTTAAAAAAAATGATAGGATTTGAGAGCTTCTACAAATTCCATATGGATTTTTAGAGATTTCTGTATGGATTTTTAAGGATTTTTGTGGACTTGGCTTATGATTTTGATGGATTTTTATAAGTACATTTCTTTGATTACAAATTTATATTTGAATGCAAAGAAAAGAGAAAACAGTGGGGACTCTCTTGGCAATGAGACTCCCAGTCTCGCACGATCATAGGTGGGATCGAAATGGATGTAGAATTGTGTTCGTCGATTTGTCTGCGTCATTGTGTGGCTGTGATTGGTAGAGATATGTGAAATTGATCAAATTGGTCTCCGTTTTTATGGGTTGTAGTGAACTTTGAGGACTGTGCAGATAAGAAAATGGGGTTACTATCGGAACCTATGTAAGATTTTGCATCAGAAGAAGATCTACTTCTTTGGGTGAACATTGGTTAGACCAGCGAGAAAAAGAAAGAAGAGTACGGTGTCAGCTGAACAAAACCGGATTCTATTATTATTATTTTTTTCTTTTTTTGAACAAACGATATCATTTACACTAAGAAGGAAGGGGTGAGCTTAGTATCACAATGTGTTAGCAATAATGTAGTTCAAATTCACCTTTGGCGAGAAATAAACCTAAGACCTTTCACTTAGAAATGAAGAGGAATATTACAAAATCGTAATACTAAGTGAGATTCTATCAATTTAATCATGCTTTTATTTACTTGTTCTTTAACTCGAAAAATAAGACTGTAGCACCACGGACAAGAGAGAGTCGAAGTCAAACGAGAAGTAAGGAAGTTTACCTACATCATTTATTCAAGGTTGAACGACTTCCCATCCCTTCTTGTAAATAATATCTTTTTTTTGTTAAAAAAAAAATATACATTGTCTAACACATGTAGGTCTAACGGTTGCAAAATGTATGGTCAGTTTGTGTGCCTAATTAATAACATTAGTATTCTCTTTTTAGCAAGTGAATAAGGAAAATACGTCAGTACATGCTGGTCAGTACCCAATTTCACTGATCATTCGTGTGGCCTAAATTTTTTTTAACATTTGTCAATCCGAGTGCTTTTGTCATTTCTGTAACCAAACACATATCCATGCTTTAAACCCGTGATCAAACACTAGTCTTCTTCATTTCCAACAACTTTGCGAAGATCCTCATAGCCAACCACCATGACCTCGTCGGCTCCGCTATCATCTTCAAGATACAAGTCATAGACTTCACTTCACCAACCTTGTCCTCGACAGCCATGCCAAGCTCGATCTCACTTGCCAAGATGACGTTGAGTCCTTTACCATTGGGGATTCGTAATCCTTGCCGCTGCAAGTCGGCGGCATGTACGTACGTCAAACCCACATAGCTACAGATTTCGTCGCCGTCAATCTCACTGCAACGGTGGAATCCACTGTTGGAAGAGGGACTGGGCGGGGATGGGGTCAGTGGAGGAGGGAAGATGGAGGAGAGAAAACGCGATGAACGCGTAGGCGCAAGCGGAATTGGGATCGGAGTTACGGTTAAAATTTTACGAAACATTGAATACCGAGGTCAAGTTGGTAATTTCATTTTAGAAGATATTTTGTATTGTTTTGTGAGCCATTTAGGGCCCACACCCCACTCCTTCCCTTACACCCGTGTTCCCTGTCAGTCTTCTCGGACCTATCCCACACTGCCACCTCACTTTGTCCCTCTCTTCCCTCAAACTCTCTCCTTCTCTCATCCTTTCCCGTTCTCTGTCTCTTTTTCTATCTCTTTCTCTCTGTCTGCAAATGCAAAGAATCCCAAGACCCCCACACACGGCGTTGCTCCGGCAAGGTCCATCATCCACCATCATCTCCAACGAGCATAACGACCATAAACCCGAAGCCACATCATCTCTTAGTCGTGAAGCTGCATACCCATATCTCGAGTTTCCAACACAAACCCAGACTATGACCTCCATGTTTCCCGGTGAGAACCTCGAAAATTTTCCATGTGGGTAGGTTCAAAAAACCACCCAAATCTTCGTGGATTATGTTTTACCTTACGTTTCTAGTGCTCTTAAGGATTTTGGTTGACATTTGAACGCAGAGATACTCTTCCCCGGTTTTCCGATGATGTATGCCGTGAGTTGCAGACCTTTTCAGGCCAACTTCGACCACAGGTGACTGGAGGGGAAGGTATAATCCTAAACTAAACTCGTTTATCTTCATTTTGATAGGAAGAGTGTGAAAAATAGTTGAAAAATCAAGCTATTTGGATCTCGTTTTGTTCTTAGGCGGGATTTCCATAATCCGACGGTTGCAGTGGCAACCGGTTGGAGAAGGAAAAAAAAAAAGAAAAAAAAAGAAAGAAGAAGGCCGAAGCCCAAACTTAGTCCAAAACCCGGCCCAAGTCTTAAGCCCAAACCTTTGGGTCACTGTTCCGGCCTAGCCCAATTCCAAAAATAAGGAATATTCTAAGGAATATTTCAGGGAATATTATTTGTATTGACTTTCTGGAAAATTCCCGGAAACCCCTAGGCTAATTTCGACGTCCCGAGTCCCTTTTTGACACCCATTTAGTGAAATTCCAAAGTTCTAACGTGGTTGACCATCGGGGCATCTCGGTTGACTTTTTTTAGGGTTGATCGTTGACCTTTCATTGACTTTTTACAAAAATTGCTCGAGACCCTTCTTAACGTATTTCGATGAGCTAATTCCGAATCCGCCGTCCGTTTCTCCAAATTCAAACATTCAAACATTGTTACACCCAACGGTATAATTCTCATCCTACTTTATTGTACTTTACTTATGCTCTGACATCACATGAAATGGGTTCATTCCCGCTCACTAGCGCACTCTTACATTTAGGCACTTTTAGGTTTAAATTTAATCATATTTTCCACTTCACTACACTTTACGGAGTCTTCACCCTCCAGGTGTCGGCCAACATAGCTTGATTCGGAGTCCAAGTGGACGTTCCGGATCGCGGTGTGTCAGTAGTTGTTTATATTAATGAGATTTTAAATAAAATCTATAATTAGTGGGATTTGAAATATTAAAGGATAGATTATACTCTCCACTGCATTATATGTATATATAAACAAGGGTACATATTTTCAACACTACAAAAAAAGAAAAAAAGAAAAGAAAAGATACTAGGCTTAATAACATTTTTAAATTTCTTCAATTAAACTTGACATGGATATATTATCAAATCAAATGAAATATAGTGTACCCATATAAGTTTAGAAAATGGATTAGGAAAAAAAATGAATGGATTTTACATTAAAAAATGGGTACAATATTAAAAAATAATACATTTCACATGTAACAAATTGATATATTTAAGAATGGGTACATTCATGATTAAAAAAATTAAAAAAATTATACGAATGGGTAGATTTAAGATTAAAGAATTAAGTTCTTTTTTTATAAAAAAAAAATTAATGAGTAAGTTTGAAAATTAATTAGGAGTTAATAAGGGTGTGAGTATTAAAATCCTAAATCAATTACTAATTTTATTTTAAAAAACTATGTAACTTACATGTAAATTCATTAATACATTAATGTTAGGAACTTCAATCAAAATTTGAAAACCAATAAGGTTTTAGCTAATGAACATTAGTAACTAGGGACTATATACTAATTTTTCCTTTAGATATTTTTAAGTATTAGGTTTTCTTGGGTGCTGTTGCTAATGAATTTGTCCAATTCGCTGATCGGCGAACTCTTTGTTGCTCCAGTGCTTTCATATGGTGGTATTGCAATCTTGCACCCACTGTTCCCACTAACTTTGGGTTGCACTACTGCATTCGTATCGACCCACACAATATTCGTCGTTGTGCTTTCATATGGTGATAATGCTGCTGCAAATTCATCTTCTGTTCCCGACGAACCCAATTACCACTACTGCTTGTTGCTAGACCACGAAACGAGATGACATTGAACTACTTCAGTCATTTTTTGCCTTACCAAACTCACACGTGTCGCGATCTGACCAACTTGTGTCGTGATCTGATAAACCCATGAATTTGATTTTGCATTAACACACCCACCAGGCATGCTGCGACACCTCATTTCTACCCGCATCGAGTCCATTCCACTTTGTCCCACAGAAGAAAAAAAAAACAAGAGATAAGGGAAAAGAAAAAACGAAAGGGAAAAAAAAAAAAAAAGAGAAAAAAAGTTTTGTTGATAAGAAAGTATTTGTTGTTATTCTAGCCTAAAAGGGTGGCGTGAGAAAGGTTGATGTTGTTTGGCCTGTATATAGAGTATGTTGCAACTATCTATCACAACAACTACTCAAGTGCTTGGATTGGTGGTCATTTTAGTGATTGTTGTTAGAGTTTCTAAAGTTGTATACGTGGTTTTAAATTTGACCTTATGTTCGTTTGTTGTTGTACTTGTTGTATGAGAATCTTGTTCGTTTAATGGTAGGGGAGCATTCATATGTTTCATTTCTATATTCCCAACATCTAATTGCATGAATATGCCTACCCGAATATGCTACAAAGTATGTTTGCCTTACAATATCTATATGTTGGAGAACGCCAAATAGAATATGATTGCCTCCATATCCACCTAAGAGCCCTTCCACCGGGCTCTTTTGTCCTGTGGACAGGCCCCATTTGCAATCCAATCCCCTACCAAAGTGCCCGCCAGCCCATTCGGGCGATTGGATTAAGGGGGAGCCCGTGGGAGAGCTCAGGCACAAGTCCAAGGCTCGAGCGCTTGAGGGAGAGTGATGCAAGTATAAAAAATTTTGCGTCAGGTGTGTGTATAACACACACGAGTGGGGGCGCGTTACCGATAAGATTTCAGGCAGTGGGGCCCACGTTGCAGCCCACTAAATAGCAGTTGAATCTGGACCGTTTGATTTCTAGATCAACGGTCTAGATTTTTCCATTGAAAAAATTAAAAAATATGAAAAAACATAAATATTTCGAGGGGCACGTTTCATAATCTGCACTGTTGGATTTCAAATTTTTTTATAATCCAACAATTTAGCTAAATTAAGTTAATAAAATTTTAAAAATAATTAAAATCTGAAAAAATTTCAAAAAAATTTCAAAAAATTATAATTTTTTTTTTTCTATAAATACCTTACCATTTTCTCCTACCTTACACCACATTTCAATATTTTCAACAATTCTAAACATGGAAGGACATGTCATGCAACAAAATTGGTTAAAAATCTTATCGAAATATATTCAAAAATTGTACTTTCAGATAATGATACATGGACGTGACGAGATCAGTTATCCGAATTAAAAAATAAATTTTTTTTTAGAACATAAAAAATACTAATATTTTATTGTCTATTGCCATGGTTATTCAGTTTAAGGGTAGAGATGCAAAAGACAATTACTATTCATTAAAGGCAGTTACTATTCACTGGAGGGGATTGAATTACCTATTGCCAATGGGTGCCTTTGCACACTAGAAGTGCTCTAACGGAGCATGCATTCGCATTTGTTTGTTGTCAAACTCATGTCGTTTAGATGACATATAGAAGCAAAACAAATACACAATTTACCTTCCCATAAGCAAGATAAATTACTACGTAATATAGGAAAACATATAGAAGCAACCTATGATAGAGATAGATAATAAACAGAAAAATATAATCTACCTATAATAGAGGTAGGTTATATAACAAAATCTTGTGATATAGGTAGATTAATATCGGCCATGAAATCAATTAATTTGAGTAAAAATACAACTCAAATGAAGATCCAATTTTGACCATGAAATTAACTAATTTAACACAACAAGCAATTTGATGAAAGAAGCCAACCGACCTTGTTAGACAAATAAGGAATGGTTGGAGTCCTTGTGTAATTGTATATAATATTATTATTGGAAGAATAAGCCGTCCTACAGCCGTCAAGCCGTCCTACAGCCGCCCTACCTTGTCCTACCTACACACTAGCCGTCCTACAGCCGTCAAGCCGTCCTACAGCCGTCCTACCTTGTCCTACCTACACACTAGGACGGCTACCTTGTCCTCTATAGCCGTCCTACCTACACACTAGGACGGCTACCTTGTCCTACCTACACACTTGTATCATGTATATATATCCTTGTAATCTTGTAGAGAATCACAATGAGAAAAAATTAAGCATTCTCTTCCATTTGCATTCTCTTCCATAAGCATTCTCTTCCATTTGCATTCTCTTCCATTTTTCCACATTCATGTATCAATAACAAATATAATTTTTAGCCTACATACCTTTTTCTACATGGTATCCAGAGCAGGTTTATAACCCTAGCCCTAATTTTTTTTCGGCAGCTTTCTCTGCCGTTCCCATGGCTGACTCTTCTTCTTCCGATGGTGTTTTTTCCCTTCATCATTCCGACCACCCGAATCTTGTCCTTGTATCCAAGAAGTTGAATGGTGATAACTACACATCCTGGGCCCGTGGCATGCAGCTTTCCTTGAGTGCCAAGAATAAACTTGGTTTCATCACTGGCAATATCCAAGAACCTTCATCCTCCGACGACCCTGATGCTCACGCGGCTTGGCGTTGTTGCAATGACATGATTCTCTCTTGGCTTCTGCATTCCTTGGAACCTGACCTTCAAGAATCTGTGCTTTTTTCCACCTCTGTCCAAGCTGTATGGGATGATCTTCGCGAACGCTTCTCTCAGAGTAATGCTCCACGCATCTTCCAACTCAACCGGGAACTTGCTACAATTTCTCAAGGTTCTTCTTCTATCTCCGCCTATTTTACTCGCCTGAAAGCTCTCTGGGATGAGCTTGCTTCTTATAATGATGGCTGCACGTGCTCTTGCAACGCCAAGCATGACCGTCAACAACTCATGCAATTTTTAATGGGCCTCAACGAATCATTTGCTGCTGTTCGTGACCAGATTCTTTTAATGAATCCCCTTCCCACTGTTCGTCAGGCCTGCTCCTCGGTGTCTCAAGCTGAAAAACAACTCTCCCTGGGCGTCCTCCGCTCTGTCGATCAACCTGCTGCCATGGCTGTTCGTGGCCCGTCCCGTCCCTCCTCTGCTCGTCCTCCCCTCCACTGCACCTACTGCAATTTTGATTATCATACCCGAGACACCTGCCATAAACTTCATGGCTATCCCGTTGGCCATCCCCTCCATGGCCAACCGTGGCGACCACCGCGCCGTGCCACTGCTTCCAGTTCTTCCCGCAGCCATGCACCTTCCAGTCCTCCCCGGCAGCCACGGTTTTCTGCTTCCCGGCCCCATAATTTCACCCAGGCCCATCACGTGCAAGGCACCCAGGCCCCCGCCTCCTCTTCTACTCCAGCGACCCACCAAGTGCACGGGGCCCAGCCCACTTTGCATGACTTGCAGCTTGCCATGCCTGACCTCTCTGCCGAGCAGCACTCCCGTGTTCTAGCTGCTCTACGTGACACCACCACCCCTCCTCAGGCCAATGCCGTGCTCACTACTGATTTTGCCCAAGGTTTGTTACCTGTCACCTCTCGTCATGGTCAATGGATTCTTGACAGTGGTGCTACGGATCATATTACTTCTTCCGCTTCATGTTTGGTTAATCGTTCTCCTTCACATTTGCCGCCTGTTTCTTTGCCTAGTGGTGCTTCCGCTCCCATTACTTTTACCGGCACTCTTCCTTTAAATTCATCAGTTACTTTGAAGGATGTTTTATGTGTCCCTAATTTCCGAGTGGACCTTTTATCGGTTGGTAAACTTACAGATGGATTATCGTGTTCCATAACCTTCTTTCCTTCTTGGTGTGTTTTGCAGGACTTGGTTTCGAAGGCGATGATTGGTGTGGGTAAGCGACGTGGCGATCTATATTACCTTGTGGCCCTTACCTCTTCTCTCCCCACCCGTCAACCTCTCTGCAACATCATTACCATCCCCTCCTCCCTCTGGCATAGGTGTCTAGGTCACCCCTCCTCCACTCGTTTGCAAGCTTTAGCATCTAGCTCTCTTAATTGTACTTTTGATTCTAGTCATATTTGTGATGTTTGTCCGTTGGCAAAACAAACTCGTCAACCTTTTCTTTTGAGTTCAATTTCATCAACTTTCCCTTTTGCTTTAATTCATTGTGATATTTGGGGCCCGAATCGTCAATCTTCTCTTTCTGGTGCTCATTATTTCTTAACCATTGTGGATGATTTTTCTCGCTTTACGTGGGTCTTCCTCATGAAACATAAATCTGACACTCAACAATTAATTAAGGATTTTTTTGCTTATGTCACTACCCAATTCCGTACTACCATCCAATGCATTCGTACTGACAATGGTGGTGAATTTTTATCTCTTCGTAGTTTTTTCTCTGATCATGGGGTGTTTTTACAAACTTCTTGTGTTTATACCCCCCAACAAAATGGCGTTGTTGAAAGAAAACATCGTCATCTTCTTGAAACCGCTCGCGCCCTTCGTTTTCAATCTCATCTTCCTATCAAGTTTTGGGGGGAATGTGTTCTCACCGCTACTTATCTCATCAATCGTCTCCCTACCCGTCTTCTCCATCATAAATCCCCATTTGAGGTTCTCTTTTCGAAAACCCCATCTTATGACCACTTCCGCGTCTTTGGTTGTCTGGCATATGCCACCTCTGTCACTCCCACCACCAAATTTTCCCCTCGGGCTCATCGTTGCATTTTTCTCGGTTATCCTCATGGACAAAAGGCCTATACCCTTTACGATCTCGACAATCACCGCATTTTCACTAGTCGAGACGTCATCTTTCACGAAACTACTTTCCCTTATGCCGTTTCTCACCCTCCTATCCCTTCCTCTTCGCCTACCTTACCCATCCCACCCCCTCTGGACTTTACATATAACCCACCCCTTCCTGCCCCAACGCCTCACCCTCCTCCACCTTCCTCCCCTTCCACGCCTCCCACAGATTCCCTTGCTGCCCCATTACCCGTTCCTCCCCTTCCCCGCACCTCTTCCCGTGCCCATAAACCTCCATCCTATTTAAAAGACTACGTTTGCTCGCAGGTGATTCTGCCATCCCACCCATCTTCGACTTCGCAACCCGGTTCTACACAAGGTACGCGATATCCACTTTGTAATTTTCTCTCTTATCACCGTTACTCTCCCAGGCATTTTTCTTACATTAACTCTGTCAGTCGGACTGTGGAGCCTTCCTCCTTTGCCGAGGCTGCCACTGACCCCAATTGGCAACGTGCTATGACTGAGGAGCTTCAAGCTTTACATGCTAATGGTACTTGGACTTTAACTTCCTTGCCCCTTGGCAAAATTCCCATTGGTTGTAAGTGGGTGTACAAACTCAAGCACAATTCCGACGGCTCTATTGACCGCTACAAAGCTCGTTTGGTTGCTAAAGGCTTCACTCAGGCTGAAGGTATTGATTATCATGACACTTTTTCTCCTACTGCTAAGATGATTACGGTGCGTTGTCTTCTTGCTCTTGCTGCTAGTCAGTCTTGATTTCTTCATCAGCTTGATGTTAATAATGCTTTCTTACATGGTGACTTACATGAAGAAATCTATATGTCTCCTCCTCCTGGTCTTCGGCGACAGGGGGAGAATCTTGTGTGTCGCCTTCACAAGTCACTTTATGGTCTTAAGCAGGCTTCTCGCCAATGGTTTGCCAAATTCACTAGTGCCATCATTTCTGCCGGTTTTCAACAATCCAAAGCTGACTATTCATTGTTCACTAAAAAGTCTGGTATTTCTTTCACAGCTTTGCTCATTTATGTGGATGATATTGTGATTACAAGCAATGATGCTAGTGCCATTAATTCTCTGAAGTCTTTTCTCCGTGATCATTTTCGGATAAAAGACCTTGGTGATTTAAAATATTTTTTGGGTATTGAGGTTTCTCGTTCCAAACAAGGGATTTATATTTCTCAACGCAAGTATGCATTAGAGATTCTCAAGGACTATGGTTTTTTGGGAGCACGACCCATTGCTTTTCCTATGGATGACACAAAATTATCTGATAAAGGAGAACTTCTCAAGGATCCTGAAAAGTATCGACGATTAGTAGGTCGGTTAATATATCTCACTATCACTCGGCCGGATATCACCTATTCTGTGCATGTTCTAAGCCGTTTTATGCACGAGCCAAGGATATCTCATATGGATGCTGCGCTTCGTATTGTTCGTTATTTGAAGGCTACTCCAGGTCAAGGTTTATTATTTCGTTCTGACAACCAGACCAAGTTAACTGCGTTTTGTGATTCTGATTGGGCAGGTTGCCCTATCACTCGCCGTTCGACTACTGGGTATTGTGTATTCTTGGGCGGTTCTTTGATTTCTTGGCGGACAAAACGACAGAAAACCGTTTCGCTCTCTTCAGCAGAGGCAGAATATAGGGCCATGGCAGGTGCTTGTTGCGAGATAGTTTGGCTTCGTTTTTTGTTGAAGGATTTGAACATTCCTTTGGATGGTCCTTCCATTTTATTTTGTGATAATCAAGCAGCGTTACATATAGCTGCCAATCCTGTTTTTCATGAACGAACTCGTCACATTGAGATGGATTGTCACTTTATACGAGATAAAATTGTAGATGGCACAATAGAGACCAAGCATGTGGGTACGGCACAACAGTTGGCAGACTTGTTTACCAAACCTCTTGGGAAAGAAAAGTTTTCGGGTATGTTACGCAAGTTGGGAGTTCTTGACATCCACTCTCCAACTTGAGGGGGAGTGTTAGACAAATAAGGAATGGTTGGAGTCCTTGTGTAATTGTATATAATATTATTATTGGAAGAATAAGCCGTCCTACAGCCGTCAAGCCGTCCTACAGCCGTCAAGCCGTCCTACAGCCGTCCTACCTTGTCCTACCTACACACTAGCCGTCCTACAGCCGTCAAGCCGTCCTACAGCCATCCTACCTTGTCCTACCTACACACTAGCCGTCCTACAGCCGTCAAGCCGTCCTACAGCCGTCC